AAAGAGATATCTGTTTTCAAATATGTTGATTAAGACATTTGTCGAATGTGGTCATTCCGGCACCATTTGGTGATGATTCGATTTGCTAAGATTAAATTGCAAAAATAAGAATGTTTTGTCACCCGATGATGACAGGTCCAAAGTAGTTTAGTATCATGCACTTCATTGAGTAGCTTTGAAATGTTGAAACTTTGACAACTAAATCTAATAATAAGTTTTTACTTTATTAAAAGACTATTCACTTGACCAAATTTTAAATCAGTGGTGCAATATGATTCTGTTTTTATTAATTTGATAAAATGCATGATATTCAGTTCTTAAATTTCAGTGAATTATGAAATTGCAAAAAAGAAATAAGCATCATCTTTCTGAAAATGAGCATTTTATACGGTAATGCAGTCTTTCAAATAATCTATATCAGTGGAAACTCATGGTCTTCTAAAAGATTAGGTTTTAATGAATTTTCAGTGTTCAGCTTCTAAATGGTTTGCACAGAAAAAACTTTCAGCTGCATCTTCAACCTTTCGAAGAAGCCGAGAGCGTAGTTTCTAAAATAAACTGTAATTGATGCCATGTTAGTCATGTTTAAAAATTTTTGGGAATGATCATTTGCAATAAAGTGGAAATGGTAGAACCAGTGACCTCAGCAGTGGTGAGCTTTCGTAAACTGCAAGTGATGAATAGTAGATAATATTCCTTGATGTGGCTTAGCAGATGCTTCATTATCGATTGAGATCTGCACAGAATTACGATATTAACTGAAGACTTCCTCTTGTTGCTGGCCAGCAGAGCAAATAATATAGCGGCTTCCTCAGTTTGATATACCTCAGTGTAATGCCCTCTCTGTTTTAATCAAGGGTACTGTCTGATACTGATTTTAATGCTTTTCATGCAGTACAATTTTTGTTTTCATCGTCAATAATCTTCAAAAGATTTACTCTGCATGCATAGCTGACTATCATATTTATTAACTGTCCGACTGTTAGAATTGCAGTAAAATCGTTTAGAAGAAATAACAAAATGTTTAAGGCATTATAACAACTTCGATTATTACTGCGTAAAGGTAATATAAGTATTTCTGAAATTTATTATACAACCTTCAACTAACCCGTTCTGCATCTAGTATACTGATTTTCTCCCTTTGCTTAGCATAATCCTAAGTGACGC